AGTACTACTAGTAGCAGTAGTCGTCGTCTTGGCGGTGGTGGTATAGTAGTAGCGGTAGCAGTAGTAATAGTGTTTGGCTGATCGAATGTCTGAACCCCAGAAAATCGACGCAAGTCCTGGTGTCGACGCTGTCTCTGAGACTGTTGACGTTCCATGTGGCCTGAAGACGGGGACATCGTTCGATGGATTTCTATCTGCATCAAATTCTGAGACAGCAGGGTCAGCAGGAAATCGTCTGATGCGTGACGTTGCAGCTGAAGAAGCACTCGAAGGCTTGAGGCTTGGGCACACTAGCGCGCCAACCGCTATCAATGCAACGGCAATGATTTGCAGCCTGGGTCGGCTGAAAGAAAACCAACTCACACCCGCACGCGCACACACACACACACACGCGTGCTTTGTGCTGAAGCTTTTGCCCAGGTCAGGCAAAGACCACGATGCAACCATGCACTGATGTGCTTCAATAGCTGTGGGCCGTACCCGTACTTTGCGAGCAGCGTGGCCGCAGACTAGGTGGGACCATTGGCAATTGCATTTATTTATGGAAACATGTCTTGCAAGCACCGTCAGGTCAGCACGACTGTCCGCCAGGCTTTGCTGTCGCACCCGCAAACGCAAGCAACTAGTGCCCAACTTGCTAGATGGGGGTTTCCGAAAATAGGGGGCCCTCATATAGTACCCAAAATAGTAGGATCCTTTTTATAAGGACCCCCAAATAAGGTACCCCCTATTTTCGGAAACTCCCAGATTGACACAGCATGTTCAACGAAGGCCAAGACGATGGTGACTCGGTGGTACAATGGCCTCGCAAGTCAAGGGCCACCGGCCTACGAAAGAAGGACCATGGCACAAAAGAGCTGAGGTAATATAGGGGCTGTAAGAATTGCTTATACTATTTTGGGGTGTTCCTTATTATAGTTATAGTATGATGGGCTCCCAAAATATTCAAATTATTAAGGCCCCTACTTTATATGCAGAGGCAGTGTGCGGCTGGCTTCAGGATCAGGCAGCTGCAGGGTTTTGGGGGGGTCTGTCCGTTCTGGACTTAGAAGGTCCGATCCATGGAGACAAAGGCAGATGTCAGTTTGAATGAAAAGCAAAATAAAGGCAACTAGAAGGTGAAATAAAGGTGAAGTTGTAAGCTGAAGAACAGATCGAAGAACAAGTAAAAATAAAGGCGAGACGAAAAACAAAAACGGCAACGAACAGGTAAACTTTGTGGGGAAAAGGTGAAGACTAGGCCTGGTTCTAGCTTTCTTTCACCTTTCTTTTACCTTTTCTTTACCATTGTTTCACCTTTTCTCAAAAGGGCTCTTCTGGCCGCCTCCATCGGAACGGTCCTTCTAATTCTGGTGCTCCCGCGCGTGCTGTGTGCCTACTATGCGCCATGACGGCAAGTTCGAACCACGCATTTGCAAAAACACGGGCGAGGGTATTCTGGCATCACATGGGGCCAACACAAGGCAGAGCCCAAGCGCCAAGCTCAACACTGTGAGATCGGAACGGGTTCTGGAGGTGAAGCAGCTCTTTTCCAAAATATCACGGGCCCATACCTCCTGCCTTTTGGGATAGCGGAGCGCAGCATGTGCATCGCCCGACCATGCGGTATTCGTGAATATTCCGTTGTTAAGGCGAAGTTGCGGGATGTGCAAGGTACATGACCTGACGTAGGCTTGTATAAATGACGTGCGGATAGTGCACAGTCATGCACAGTCAGAGCTTCAGGCCCTTTCTAAGTAGGGACGGCGACCACCCACTTCGGTGTGAGCAATCCTCCTGGGGACCCAAGCGCAGCACAGTGATTCCCCAACCACTGTTATGTGTGACATCGCGCAGCGCCGACATGCCGAAAGACCACGACCGTTCGACCCCCGCCCCCCCCACCCACCCCTGACTCAGGCCTGGCCTTACAAATTGGTCCTGATAGTATACTGAAGGTTGTGCATGTGTACACTGTCTGACACGATAGCTATCCAAAAAATCACAGAAGATTGGGGCCGCGGCTTGTCAAACGGGTACATGTCGCCTTCTTGTCCTTGATGCCCTGTCAAGCTCTTGTATGCTCTTGTCATGTGGTTCAAAAATACTCACAATGCGATTGGCAAAGTGCTTCACTGCCGGTTGTGGCCTTGCAAGGCCCACGGCTCCAAATTCTCCAAACCTGGCCACTACCTATAGTCTCCATTGTAGTTCCTTTTTTTGGTTTAACCAATTATATATTAAGGATTTTATAAGGTATCCCCAAAAAGGAACTACAATGGAGACTATAGGTACAATCGTTCATGCCTGCTGCCATTTATCCTTCTGCCACTCACACAGCCGAACTCCGAACTTCTGGGACTCCGGCTTCTGCGCCCGGAGAAACCATACCTCATGACGGGTCGAGAGTCAAGGGGCCGTGCCGCGAATTTAGTTCAGAGGCTACGATTGTAGCCAAAGCGTGGTATCCCGAAACACTGCCAACAATGCAGTCTGTGCCAATTCAGACTCGGCACACCCTGCCCTTCGAAATGAGTTTCAAGGTCGGGAAGCCACGCACGTCGAACATGTTCGACAAGTACTGGGACTGGCAAGTCGGGCAGATGAACGCGCAACTTCTTGAGCGTCATATGTTCGTACTGCTGCAGGCTGAATTTGCAATCGGCACAAAGCCTCTGTACAGTCCACCTTCCCGACGTTGACTTGACCTGGCGCTCAGCACAAGCAAAACTTGCGAACCTGTCGTCATCATCTGCAGGGATGCCGCGAACGTGACAACGTCTTGGGACATGGCCTTGCACTTTTCTGGCCAATGACTCCCATGTAGGAGCTATCATCTGCAAAGCAAACATGCTTGACAGCCGCTGCTGGCTATGCCCAACATCAACATGGCCGCGCCATGCAGCAAACAACAGCAAACACTGCAGTGTGCCTTGCAGTGTCCACACCACGGCCTGGATACGCACCCTCTAACACTTAGGCGTGGCCACTGCACTGACCGTGACCAAGCATCGCACGCATAAAACTTCACGACCCATGGCCTCAGTGCAATTGCGATCTGTACATCCAAAGCGAAAACACCACCTCATCATGTCACAGGCGGTGTATGTGGACACTGGCAGAACAAGCAACCGCAATAAATAACGTGAGTCTTCCGGCTGCATTCTCTGAAAGACCGAACACTTACTATTGGGGGGTGCTTGTCTGACAAGCCTGTCGTCACCGCGCTTGACAAGGTCCTTCAAAGTCGCACTGGCATGTCATTTCGACTGCCGGGTCACGGTCATGCCATTCGCCAAAAACTTTCTCTACTCTCCTGGAAGTTGCTGTCCGTCAAATTCACGACCAGTGACTGCCACCACGTTCAAGACGAGTTTGAACAGCAGGCATGCCCAATGACACCAACAAATGCAGGAGCTGCCAGGTCAGGTACTTTCGCAACACGCAACGACCAACAACAACAACAACAACAACAAACAACCATGACAACAACAACAGCAACAACAACAACAACAACGACGACAACGACGACGACGGCAAGAACAAACCATGACACCAACACCACGGCCTCCGCGTCTTCTGCCAGTGCATACTGCAACTCCGCCAAAGCTATTGTAATGCCGAGAATGGCACCTGCAAAAAACGTGATCTAAATTCGTGGGCCCATGAATGCGACAAGAACAGCTGGAGCACCCAATTTAGCAGCACTGCCCATGGCGCGAAGAATGTTAGCTGCCACAACTTCAGACGGTTGGTTGTTTGGCTAAGCGCATTACTACATGTGAAGCATTCGGATATGTCTCGTGTTGCCAGGTCGGGGCGACTGTATTCAATGAACATCTCTTGAGTAGGGCAGCATAGGGCAACCCGGCAAAAAATGAACATGCCCATCAAACCTCATCCAAAAATGCCTGCCAGTCCCCCACACATGCAAGAACCCTGGAAATATTACGGCAGCGAGATCGTGAGTATTGCATACCAGATTAAACCACAAGCCAAACAACTAACAACAACGATAGCCCAAGGCAAACGACAATCACGCACCAACACAACACCAGCAGCACCCGCACCGTGAAAAACAACAGCAACAACAACAAACACTACGACAGCAACGACAAAACAACGGCAACAGCAACAGCCACAGCGTCAGCACCAATAGCAGTAGCAGCGACAACCACATCAAAAACAACCTAGACCACAATGACAACCACCACAACAATTACGAACGCAGCGACAACCACAAGAAACAGCACCAAAGCAACCACAACAACAACTGCAGCAACAACAACAACAACAACCATGACTACAAAAACAACAACAAAATCAAACTGAACAGCAGCATCAGCACCAACAGCAACCGCAACGATAGCACCAACAACAACAGCAGCAACAACAACACCAGCATCACCATGCAGAAGCACATGCAGCAACACCAACACAACCACCAACACCACCACATAAAACAACAACAACAACAACAACAACGACAACAACGACCACCAACAACAAAGGCGACACCAAACACACCACCACCACCACCACCAACAACAACAACCACAACGACGATGGCGGCAACGAACAAGACATTAACGAAAACGGCGAATATCAAACGACGGCCACAGCAACAGCAACGACAACACCTAACACCGAGAAAGCCAACAACAACGCCACCGCCGCCACCAACAACAAGAACGATGGCTACAGCTAAAACAACAAACGCTACAACAACAACAACAACAACAACAACAACAGCAACAACGACAACAACACCACCACCACCACCAACAACAACAACAAGAACAATAAGAATAAACAAGAACAATAACAAGAACAACAAGAACAACAAGAACAACAACAACAATAACGACAACAATAAGAAGAATAATAACAATACCAAGAAGAATAACAATAGCAATAGCAAGAACAAAAACAATAACAACAAGAACAACAAGAACAACAACGACAACAACGATAACAACGACCACCAACAACAAAGGCGACACCAAACACACCACCACCACCACCACCACCAACAACAACAACAACCACAACGACAACGGCGGCAACGAACAAGACATTAACGAACACAGCGAATATCAAACGACGGCCACAGCAACAGCAACGACAACACCTAACACCGATAAAGCCAACAACAACGCCACCGCCGCCACCAACAACAAGAACGATGGCTACAGCTAAAACAACAAACGCTACAACAAAAACAACAACAACAACAACAACAACGACAACAACAACGACAACAGTACTGACGGCACTTAATATTCAGGCAATGCTGGTGCAACATGAGCATCAATCACAGACCCAGGAACACCGACAACATTTTCAACCTGTTTATGCCACACGCATTTCTGGCTGCCCGAAGAACCTACGTACCGTGTCCTACAGACCTATACCGTATACCCCGACCTCGCGTGCGTTCGTCGCTGCCGCTTGGTGGTCGTCGGCGGTGAGGTCGGGGGCCGGTTTGGTGCGCAGGCTGCCGACTGGCTCCGGATGCTCGCCGGCATGCCTCAGACGCACAGGCTGGCATTCCAGCCGCTGCGAGTGCAGCTTGGGCAGCGCCTTGGTCGGGGAGGCTAGCAATCCGTTAGCTTCCGCTGCGCACGCGCTATCGCCACGTCTGTATCTCCTCCTGCGGTTTGGTGGTCCCGGATTGGGCTTCGCCTCCTGGGCATTTTGGGCGGACTTGCCGACCATTCGAACACGCATGACGCTGGCAGCCGCTCGTTTGGTTCGCGCATGGGAACTGCAGTCCTTGACTGAGACCGTTGCTGTGCCTCTTGCAGCAACACGTCAGGCCCGTGAACAGGGGCGTTTGCACCAGCACCTTGACCGGAATGCACGTTTGCACCAAGCTGCGCAGCACTTGCCCGCATGACGGAACTTACCATCGTGGAACCGACCACTTGCTTCGAGCCATGCCAGAGTGGACAACCTCTTCGCGACGACTTCGATGTGGCTGTCGTCGGAGACCGGGACATCGATGTTCATGTCAGCCAAGCGAGCGTTGCCGGCTACCCGCTCCCTGGCTTCCTGGCACACCTTCGCCATAGCCCGCTCCAGATGGAGGGTCCGAGATGCGAGCGCACCGAAGTCGCACATGCTGCCCTGTTGGCAGACGCGCGGAGCGACCAGCAGCGGCACAGGCGGAGCCGGCACAGCAGTTTGGGAACTGCATGGAGCTGCGACAGCAGCAGCGCTCGAGATGCGGCGTCACGGCATGTGAGAAGATGCAGAAAGTCTCAACCGGCGCCGGCGACCGCGCCCCCTGGCGGCTGCCAAGCGTGGCGCATGTCCACAAGCATGTGAGGCGCTGTGAAGGCTCAGGCGGCGGGTGTAGGGAGCCGAGCCCCGCGGGACGGCCACAACCGGCCAGCAGGACCAACACGACAGCCAGCCAACACCACAAGGAGACCATTGAGGCTACCAATCACCACCAGCGAACCGCCAGGAGACTGCTAAGAGATCCGAGGCCACGACGAGCACCACAACAATCAAAAAATGTGACCATGAACAATAACTTTCACGGCAAGAAAGAATTGCATTGAAATACTTTCCTAAATAAACAAACCCAAACAATAACTATACGAAAATTTTGCCGTCAAAATTGACGCGCCGAAAGGAAAACTGCCAGTGAAACAATTTTTAATTTTCTCGGCTCGCGGCCAACACTGCGACACAGTTTTCGGTGAGTGTAGGCATTGGAATTAAGGGGTTTCGGGGCTTGGGATTTAGTGTTGAGGGTGTTGTGCGTGTGTGGGTGTTTTCCCGCTTTTATTCGCAAAATACCATTTCCAAAGACGAAGGGCAGTTTCGTACCAGTTATGTTTTGTTGCCCCCTCAAATCTGCTACCCGGAGTGCACAAGTTTGGAAGCAGTGCGAGAAACAAATTTGGAGACAAATTTGGTGGACGCTTCAACTGGGTATTTTGCCCCGTGGTAGTGTTTTACAGCAAATCTGGCCGTCTCCATGTTAACTTTGCGGCAAATGAACGCACCATTTCTCACGTCCTCATTTTGGAAAATTTTGGATATGAGCCAAAACGCACCATTGCGCACCATTGTCCGATGTCAAAATTGACTTGTTGACTATTTACAACTTTTCTGCCTCGGCGGATCTATTGGTTACAGACCAACACACTGACCAACACCACCACCACCATCAGAAACTCTTCCAACCGTGGCCAACAACAACGACCACAAGAAGAACCACAACAATAGAAACAAAATAAACAATATCGACAGCAACTCCACGTGCAGCAACAGTCAAACCAGCGGCAGCAACAGTAACCACAACAGCAACAACAACAACAACAACAACAGCACCACCAAACAACAAACAAACAAACAAACAAAAACCAAACAACAACCAACAAAGAAAACAAAACAACAACCACAACCACAACAACAACAACAACAACAGCATCAGCAACAACAGCATCAGCATCAGCATCAGCATCAGCATCAGCATCAGCATCAGCATCAGCATCAGCAACAGACCATGTTTTTTTCGGGGGTGGGCTTGTGAGCCCGTGGCGGGCCCGCGGGCCCGCCCATGAAAATTGATAGACACATAACACACAACATGGCACGGAACTCATGACGTCGCAAGACATAGCATGGTATACGATACTGTTTTGGCCATAACAAGGCATGGCGTAACATAACACAACACCACATGGCACAACTTGACAAAACATGACAAAACCTAACAAAAAATCCACGCTCACACGCAAATACGAGACATAGAATGGAATATGCCGCGTGCATGTGCTCACACGCAAAGACCAACATACATACACATATAATGTGTGTGCACACATACAAGTGCAGACTTTGAGCACAGGCCGGTACACAAGTGCTTGAATCTGATCGCGCATATGACCATACATTCTCACGCAGATGAACATATACATCACCACACAGAACACAACGTAACCCTGTGCAACACAACGTAGCATAACGTAATAGAAGGTACCCTTGTACAACACAACGTCACATAACGTGATAAAACAATTCAAGGAATAGGCCTGCATGCAAGTACATACGCAGAAAATACACGCGCATGCACAGACATATGGACACATATGTGTGCACAGAAACATACACGGCAATGTCTTTGTGCTAATATATATATATATGTACATGTATATGTATGTAGATGCAAACACAAGCCCATATGTCCGTTGGTCGTGGTTTGACTGTTGTGCTTGGGAAGGGCCACAAACAAGCAACAGCGACAGCAACGACAACAACATTGTCATGATCAACACTAGCGTTCATAAAACGTTGGTGCGTCATGGACAAGGAAAACAACAACGGCAACACTGAGACAATTACAACTTACATGAAAGCACCCACAACAACAATGACAACAGCAAGTGTAAAGATACGAGTACCGACAAGTACAAACACAAAACAAGCACAACAACAACAACAACAACAACAACAACAGCAAACAACAACAAACAACGACCAAACAAGCCATAAATTTAACGACTTGGTTCAAATCGAAAACAACACACAGCAACAACATCAACATCAACATCAACAACATCAACAACATCAGCAAAAACGAAAACAACCACCATAAAACAACAACACAAAACAAC